CACTTTCAGTGTGCTGTGTAAGTTTCCTGAATTATCTTTTTAAAATCTCACAACAGAAATTAGGGACTGTGTACTCTTGATGTTGGTCCTGCCTTGTCACACATTAATACTGCCACTCTACTCTCTTTTTGTAGCATTTGGCTATTAACGATATGCACATCCATTTATTTTCAACTCCTCTTTTACCTTCTTTTTAAAGAAAATAAGGTTAAAATAGCCTTCCCTTGTGCCCTATTTCAGTAGGCTCCCTTCTCACCAATGTTCCAACTGCTATCTGCAGAGAATCATTCTGCCTGTCCCAGAACTTTATGTGAAGTTCCATGCAGTTTGTAGTCTGTTGTATCTGGCTTCTTTTATTAAAATTAATAATTTTTTTGAGATTCATCCAAATTGTGTGTACCAATGATTCATTTCCTTTTATTGCTGAGTTTGGATAACCAGATTTTATTTAATGGCTCTAATGGTGATGGGTTGTCTCCAGTGTTAGGCCTTTATGGATAAAGTTACAGTGAAAATTCTGTCTCTTTGTGGCTTACAAGTACTGAGCTTGTACTCACTGATCATGGATATATACCTTGAAGTGCAATTGTTGGTCGTAGTGCAAGCCAATTAAGAACTCCGAGTAGTTTTCCAGAGTGTACATTCCGTCAGTTATAAACATGAATGTTCCAGTTGTTCTGTATCCTAGTCAACACTTAATATTACCAATCTTTTTTATTTTAGCCAAACTCATTGTTGCTTTAGTTGGCTTTCCCTAATAAATAATGATGTTAAGCACCTTTTCTTGTATTTTCAGATATATTCAGGTAGCTTCTTTCTTGAAGAGCTTATTTAACCCCAGCTCATTTTTAAATTGGATTAGTCATCTTTCTATTTGTGATTTTTAAAAGGCTCTCTATATGTCCTTTGTCACACATACATATTTTTTCAGTTCCTGGCTTGCTGTTTTGTTTTTATAATATCTTTTGAGCAGAACTGTTTAATTTTGATGAGATCCACTGTATCAAACTTTTAAAATGTTTAATGCTTTTCATGTGTTGTCAGAATCTTTACCTGCTTCAATGTCCCTAATATTTTTCCGGAAGTTTTATAATGTTAACTTTTATGTTTAGGTCTGCGATGTCCATCTTTATGCCAATATCTCATTGTGTTATTTATGACAGGTTTATAGTCAGTCTTGAAATCATGTAGGTAAGTCTTCCAACATTGTTCTTTTTAAATTGTTTTGGCTGTCTTAGGTCCTTTCCATTTATGTATAAATTTTAGCCTGCGAATTTTTACCAAGAAAAGGCCTTTTAGGAGTTCATTGATTTGGAGAAAATCACCAGTATTGTTCATCCTGTTTATTTGTGTAGGCCATCTTTAATTTCTGTCAGCAATATTTTGTAGTTTCCAGTAGAGATTTTCCATATCTTTTGTTAAATTTATTCCTAGGTATTTTTTATGATATTATAATTCTTCTGTGTCTATTATATAGAAATATAGTTGATATTTGTTACTGGCATTGCTGCCTCAATAAATTTACTTATTCCATTAGTTTGTCAACCTGCTTAGATTTTCTAAATATGTAATCATGTCTTCTGTTAATAAAGGCAGTTTTACTTTTGCTTTTTTGGTATTTTTTCTTGCTAGATCTCATGGACTAGAACCTTGAAATCAGGTAAAATCTTGAAATAAGTGGTGAAAGGGGACACCTTTGCCTTATTCCTGATCTTGTGGAGAAAGCATTCTATATCTGTACCATTTTGCAGATGCCCTTTACACAGCTGATTTTCTTTCCATTCTTAGTTTACTGAGAATTTTTATCATGAAAGTATATTGAGTTTTCTCAAGTTCTTTTTCTTCATCTATTGAAAAAATACCACTTCTGTGTCATGTATTTTTAAAATGTATTTCTAGTTTTTATTTGCCAATAGCTTGTTCGGATTTTTATGTCTTTGTTCATAAAGGCTATTGGTGTGTAATTTTTTTCTTATAACATCTTGGTCACTTTTGATATTATGGTTATACTGGCTTCATTAAACAAAATAAGAAATGCTTTTAGCCTCTATTTTATGAAAATGTTTGTGTTATAATTTCTTCCTTACATGCCTGGTATAGAATCACCAGTGAAATCACCTGGGCCTGAAGTTTTCACTGTGCAAACCCTAGCCTATGATGGATTCAATTAGTTTAATAAATATAGAACTAGTTGTGCCAGTTTTTGAAGACTGTGTTTTTCAAGAGATTAGCAATTTCCTCCATGTTGTCAAGAGTTGATGACATAAAACTATAATGTCCTTTTACTATTATTTTCATATTTAGGATCTATAGGAATGTTTCCTTTTTCTTTTCTGTTCTTGGCAATTTACAAAGTTTTTTTTCTTTATTTCTTCATCAGTCTTGCCCAGGAGCTTATCATTTTTGTTGTTATTCCTTTTTAATTTTTTTTTTAATTTTTAGATTTTGTTATACTTTTTTAAAATTATACTTTAAGTTCTGGGGTACATGTGCAGAACATGCAAGTTTGTTACATAAGTGTAGGATCTTGGTCTCTTGCCCAGGTTAGAGTGCAGTGGTTCAGTCATAGCACACTGCAGCCTCGATCTCCTGGGCTAAAGTAATTCTATCACCTTAGCCTCCAAGTAGCTGGGACCACAGGTGTGCGCCACCATGCCTGGCTAATCATTATCATTATTATTATTTTATTTTATTACAAAAAACCCTACTTTTGGCGTTGGTGGTTTTCTCTAATATTTACCTTTAAAAAAAAAAAACTGATTTCTTATCTTTTCCTTCTATCTAATCATCTATTTTGGCTTGTGTTTATAGATACTAGAGCGAGAGAGAGATAAAGAAAGGCAAGAGGAAACTCAGAGTTCATTGCCTGTCACTGTTTTCCTCAGTAGTTCATCTTCTTTGATCTGATTCATTTGATTTTAGGTTAGAGCCTTTTCTCATTACATAGGTGAAGTGCCCTTTGAACCCTTGCATATCCAGAAATATCTTTCTTTGACTCTGTTGAGAGAATGACACACTGGCAAAATACAGGATTCTTGGGTTCTGTTCTTTCATTCCTCTAGATTTTAATCCAGTGATTGCAGGTCCCAGTGTTGCATGTCAGAATTCAGACCAGTTCTTTCTTCTTTGTAAGTAAATTATTCTTTTGATCTAGAAGTTTGAAAGTCAGTCTCCTACTGCCGTTCCCTCTCTTATTTAGAATAATGTATTAGAAACTAGAAACTTTAACAGTAGTTGACTAGATGTGTGGGCTGTCTTATCAGTGTAGCCTGGCACTCTGCAACCCTATTTGAAGTTGCAAATTTGGGTCTTTATTCAGATCCAGTTAAATTTTCTTCTACTGCTTGTGTAATTAATACCTTTTCTTTAGCTGCTTATATTTCTTTATTTGCATTTCTATTTTTTACACGTTAGGGCTCCTGGATTTATCTTCTAGTATTGTCCTTCATAATTTCCATCTCTTTACATTTTTATTCTATGCTTTGAAGTAGTTCTTGCACTTCAGATCAGCCTTAACCGTGACCAGTAGTTCCTTCTGTTAATCTACTCAGTTGTTAACTTTGGAAATCATATATTTCACCTCTAGAAATCTCATTTTGGTAGTATACTTTAATCTCCATAAGAGCTTTCTTTATTTTTCTGTTCAATTTGTTGCTTGTCTCTTCTGCAGCTGAATTTCACTGCTTGATGGGTGTTCCTATGCATAGCAGCTGACTCCCTTAGTGTGCGTTTATTTTTCATGGTCAGCTTGTTGCAGTTCAGGCCTGGCATTGGAGAGAAGCCTGTCCCTCTCAGGCCAATGTTGCAGAAGCAGAACGGCCACCAGCCCCCTGCAGAGTAACCTGGGCCCACAGACTCTCCACACCTCAAACTTCCCACATCCTCCATGCTTGGGTCTCTGCCTCCCCTCTCTTCCGCTTCTGGCCTCTTGGTGCTGGAGAGACCAGGCATACTCATGTAGGGCTGATGCTAGCCTCCTTACCCTCTTCTACACCCACGCCCATCAGGAGCCCACAGTCCATGAGGCTGAACTGTGCCAAGGACAACACTTTCTAATAAGGGTCTTCCTTGTTTCATTTTGCTCACTACAGCGAGTCCTGCGTCTGGCCTCTGTGGAGTTGCCTTGGAGTCTAAGGCCTGACCAGCACGTGGCCACTCCCAGGCCACACAGGCAGAGCTGTAACTAGAAGGAGAAGCCAAGGGAGCTGCAATGAGGTTTCTAGAGTGTCAGAACAGGCTTATTTTCCATTGGTAATGCTTTTCAAATTAATTAGTTAATATGAAGAAACATAATTTTAAATGGTTCCTTTTTAATTGTAGTTTACTGGCTATTACATTTTAGTGTTTATAATACCTCTTGCTCTGCTTATAGAAATGAGAGTTTAGTATTTTCAAAAACAACTGATACTGTTAGGCTTTCTGTCCCCATCCAAATCTCATCTTAATTTGTAATCTCCATAATCCCCATGTGTCAAAGGAGAGACTAGGTGGAGGTAATTGAATCATAGGGGCGGTTTCCCCCAGGCTGTTCTCATGAGAGTGAGTGAGTTCTCACAAGATCTAATGGTTTTAAAAAGGGGCTCTCCCCCTTTCACTGGGCGCTTCTCCTTCTGGCCACCTTGTAAAGAAGATGCCTTGCTTCCCCTTTGCCTTCCACCAAGATTGTAAGTTGCGCTGAGGCCTCCCCAACCATGCATAACTGTGAGTCAGTTAAACCTCTTTCCTTTATAAATCACCTAGTCTCAGGCAGTTCTTTATAGCAGTATGAAAACGGACTAATACAGTGACTTATAGTCCATGTGTGGGGTTATTTTTTTCTCCTGCAAAATAGCTTTGTTAAAAGAGATCTTTATTACTGAAAATACATGAAATAAAAATCATGAGTTTTTGTAGGAAAATTGATAAGTGCTTTTAATATAGTCTGAAGTGTCTTTAACATTATTTTACTTTTTCCATCACCCTCAAATAGGCAACTCATACTCTTTATTATGTGTTCATAGGTTAGCATGGCATCATTGAAAGAACTAGATCAAAGACTCTTTGAAAATTACATCGAGTTGAAAGCAGATCCCATCGTTGGTTCCTTAGAACCTGGAATTTATGCAGGCTATTTTGATTGGAAAGACTGCCTGCCTCCAACAGGTAAGTAAATAAAGTGTCTTGAGTAATAGATGTGGATATGCTTTTATCAATTGTTACATGCTTGAATTCTTTTCATTTTATTCTCGTTTTTCTCATACCTACTGAGAGTGAGAGATTAATTTGATTTCAACTTATTTGCTTAAATCCATTTTTTGGATAATTTGGAAATTAGGACACTTTTTATTATTACCTAGTGGCTTAAAGCTGTTTTTAAGGTCAAGAGAATAATTAAATATACCTTATAATAATTGATCATTTTAGTAATGCATGCCTGCTTCCTATGATATTTTTGTATAGATATAATAGAGTGATTGTGAGTGACAGTTTCATACAATGATCTTGTGAACATCATCAAAAAATGTGTTAAAGAAATCTGGTCACATCTATGTAAGACCTAATTAGCGATGCTGTAAAGGTGAAGGATAGAAGAAAAATGTGTAGGAGTGAGATGATTATAGCAATTTAGCAATGAAAATTGAGCCACAGAAGGATGAATGATACAGTTCAAGTATTATCTTTGTGATATCAAATGAAAGTCACTTGAATCACTTCAAAGTGTATATTTTTAAAATAACTATTGCTTTCTGAGTCAAATAAACTTTTGATTGATCGAATAGTTGTTTCTTTGTATAAAATAGTGTGGAATACCTCAAACAAAGCTGCCCGTTGGCACTGTTGTAGAGAAGTGGTTTATGTAGAAGTGGTCATGCTCATATCAGACGTGGGCTTTTCATGGGTATATATATGTAGATACACCAGTGAGTTGTTAACAGGTTTGGGTTTATCTTCGTCGTTTTGACTAATCACGTTAATCTCCTTTTGTTTTTATTGTGTAGCGCTTATACTAAATGATGATAAAATTGTTTATTGTTTAAACACCTTTCATTTTTATTGTATAGTGTGCACATATAGTGATGCCAAAAGTCTAAACTAAAAACCAGAATCATTCAATTAACCACAGTTTCTTAATGTGACCACAGTTATTGAATTGTCTGAACTCACAGTCATGGCAGTCATGCAAGCCTTTATTCCTCCTGTGCTTTTCTGTACACACACTTTACTGTGCCCAAGCCAGATTAAGTTCATACCCTCACAGTACATCCTTTTAAAGTCTAATTTAGACTCTATCAGTATCTTGCTTAAAATTCTTATAATATCTTTCCATGATAGTAAAACCTGGGAAGATGTGCTGTGCCAGCCTCTTCCCTGGCACCCTGCCCACTGCCCCAGTGCGCCACCCCACAGCCTCTCCTGCTAGACTCAACCTCTGCTTTTTTGAATAGCTCATCTTTCTAAAATATAAATTGGATCCTATCAGTCCCCTGCTGAAAACCCTTCAGAGAGGCTCATTCTCCTGGTGGCTAACCTCAGACTTCTCAGACAAGGTAGCATCCCCACAGGTACCAAATTCCATGGAAGCTTAAATTCCTGGTGTGAAATGGTGTCGTATTTGCAGGTAACCTACACACATCCTCCTGTATGCTTTAAATCATCTCTAGATTACTTATAACACCCAATACAATGTCAATGCTTTGCAACTAGTTGTTATTATTTGGGGAATAAGAACAAGGAAAAAAGTTCATGCATGTTTACTACAGATGCAACCATCTGTTTTTTCCTCCAGAATATTTTCCATTCATGGTTGGTTGAATCTATAGATGCAGAAGTCACCATATGGAGGCCACAGATGCGCTTGCTATGAGTTACCTCCCTCTCCATGGGCTCCCCTAGGCAGCAGGCAGGCTGGGTGCTTCGTGCACTATGAACCCTGTGCCTAGTCCCTCTCACCTCTGCCCCTTCTGCTGACCTCCCCTGCCCTCCCAGGCCCGACGTCCTCTGGAAGCCCACCCCGCCCATCCCTGCATGCCTCCGGGTCATGCTGGCCTACCTCCATCTGTGGTGCTCCCAGAGCAGTTCACAGCTCTCTGCGTCCACAGAAAACGTTTTGTCATTGTCTACCTCCTTGCTGGACAGCCTCAGCACAGGGGCCGGCATTTGGGTGTCTGGTTCTCAGCATTTTTAGCACAGTGCAGTTTCTGACGCCCAACTGATGGTTTATTTTTGTGGAGTCAATGAAGATTGGCAGTTTTCTATAATAATATGCCATCTTTCTAAATATGCCTGTTGCTCCGTCTCTTCCAAGTGTTTGCTATATGCTTTTGCCTGATTTTTCTCAACATTTTTTCGGTAGGAAAGTACATCATACAGTGTTCTAGTTTCTACTGTTCTTCTGATTCACTTCTAAGTAAATAATACACAGTGGATATTCGTATTTGTTGAAATGAATTAAAATGAGTTAGAGTGCTCATTTTCTTGTCATTTGTGAATTCTCATATGGTAGTTGTGTACACTTTATAAATTTGAGCAATTGCATTTTAATTAAAATGCAATTGTCAAGTATATCTAACACATCATCAATACTATCTATTTAACTATTTAAACTCTTACCGAACAATATATTACTTTGCATCACAATGCAAGAAGTAATACATTGTCAGTAATAGTTCAAATGATTGTTGTTAAAGTTCATGTCTTCCCCTGTGATTAGCGTGTAAGTACATTAACTGTTCACACATCTACTACATCAGCAATTCTGTTTAACTATTTATTACTGTACAATGTATTACTTTGCATCACAATGCAAAAAGTAACACATTGTTCAGGAATAGTTCAAATGAGTTTTGTTAAAGTTCATATCTTTTCCTGTGATTAGCATCTAAGTACATTAACTGTTCACACTGAAATCATTCTTATCTTACTTGGTTATGTTCAAGGTTATTAAATCATTTGTGATGTTTCTTTGAGATTAGAAAAAATCGTGACACAACCCGTCTGATTTTCCTGCACTTCAGGAATTGCTATAACAATTTAGAATGGGCGACCAAGCTTCAGTCTCCACAAACAGTGGTTATTCTCTGTTGTCACTGAAATCTCTGATTGTTACTGAGAAACAGGATTGCCCCTGATGCAGAAGATGACTTCTCTTCACCAGCCCTCCCTCAGACCTAATGCCTCCCTTAACAGATGGTGAGATGTCTTTAGTGTGCACTGAACACTGGCAAGGACAGTCAAGAATGTCTGTCAGGTAGAAGGCAGGCTTTTCCCATCCACCCGCTCCAAGGTGTCTTCGGAAAATAGACATCTATGCAGGCCCATTCTCTGCAGGGCATTGTTAGGTCACAGTACTTCAAATGCAGGGGCTGCTGGCCATTACCATGTGTCTGTGGATCCCATGACAGCACTCCAGTGAGCAGTAACCAGGGCAGAGGGTGAATGGAGCCATTGCTGGACTAACAGGCATCTTAGGTTTCCACTGCATCCAGTTACTAACCACGACTTGCAATTTCCAAGTCCTCACTGGATTTATTTAAGGTACCCAGAGTCCTTTCTCTATGACCTTCATATTTTCCAACCATGACATTGAACTAGTACAAACCTCTGTTGTGAATTAGGATCAGAGCCTAAATGTAATCCTGAGATTGATCTTAATAATGGTTTGTAACCTTAGATAATCTTTAATACAGAATTAAGATTCTGCAGGCTGTGTGACATTAAGTGGTGAGGCTTTTTTGTTTTTTTGTAACATAACTTCATTTCTTGGTTTTGTTTTTTTCTTAAGATAAACTTTGTTTCATAAGCAAATGGCACATGACACCGTACTTTCAGCAATTTATTTACTCTTTCTCATATTCCAAAAACACGTAGAAGTTGTTGGTGTTCGTTTCACTTTTATGAACTGTATTTAGTTCTGTTCTTGGTGTAGTTTTGACTTCTTGATTCCTAACTGAACCTCAGCCTTGCATAGTCATATAGTGATTTTTAGTTTGTTTAAAGCTGACTTAAGTTGAAATTTTGTGTAAAGTGAACAGCCAAAATAGTTTGACTATTAATCTTCCAAAATAATTTCAATTAACAACTTTAGTGTTATCTTCAGAATTTTCATCTTCAGAAACTGAATTTTGCAAATCATATAGGTAACTGATTACTTATTGCTGTAGTTAGCAATAAATTTAGTTTCTGATACTGTATGTAGTGATTAAAAAAAAATCCAGTTGATTAATTTCATGATTCAAGAGGAGATATCCGTTAAAGCCATAGCTATGTTTTTTTAAATCTGACCGTTGGATAGTTAGATTGGTGTCACCTCTTTATTTGTGTATATGTCAGTAAAGATTATTCTGGTTAATTCTGAGTCACAAAACTGCTGTTCTTAAGATTTTAATTGTTGTTATCCACAATTATTAAGAGTTCTTAGTATTTGAATTTTATAAATTTTAAATAAATTAAGAATATTGTTGGTTTTTACAAGTACACATTGAAGTTCACGTCTTTAAAAACATTAAATAAGAAAAAGTATTTCTTTAAGTTTTCTCTTGTATGCTGGTTTAACTATTTTTTTCTATCAAAAGGCATGAAAACTTAATATGTATTATTTAAAGGTATTTACTAAGTGAATTTAAATTTAATCAGTTTATATAAGTAAATAGTGATCTGATTTTTAATTCAAATGCTCTTTTACTAATTATAGTAATTGAAATTATAATGGGAAGGGGAAAACTTTATATAGTTTGTGACATGAGTATGTCTAGGACCATTATAAAAATAATAGCAGAGTTGTTTGCTTCCATATGTGATGCGTATAACCTAGAGCAGAGTAACCTTCCCTCCCTCAGTGATGCACCAGAGCACAGGTTCAGAGTACATGGTTCTGTCAGTGAGCAAGACTTATAAGTGTGTTGTCCAAGCAGTGTGCCAAGCAGCATTTTTCAACAAATTGAAGAGAAAGAAAATGTAAACCTAGTTATGGAGACAGAGGCAGAGGCACAGCCCTTCTTAAGTCTGTGTTTGTTCAATTTTATTTTAAGGTCTTTACCTTTTGGAATGTATTTTGCAGGTGTTTTCACTGAATTCTGCAGGAGACACTGCACTATTAGGTTACCTCTTGCATCCTATAACTTAAACCATTCAAAGCTCAGGCCCAGCTTAGAGTTTCTAGAGAA